CATAACTATCATTACTATAAAAAATCAGGCTTAACTGTCCTCGACAATTGAGGGCAATAAAAAAGAAGATTGGGTAAGTACTTTATTTCTTGTTTTTCATTTTTATTCTTTATTTATTATTATGAAAGTAACCAAAATCTAAAAATAGGGATCTGTTTAAGTTATTTGAGACTAGATTAGGTAAAATACGTAATAATAATATAATTAAAATGATTCACAAGGCATGCATGCAAACAGCTTGTGGGTAATGTAATTCGATAGCATAACGTGAGCTGAACGTTTCCAGAGTGCTTTAAAAATTATAATGGCACAGATGCGGTTCAAAGGGCAATAAAACAAAATTTAATTATAAAAGATGTATAATGTTACGAACTTAGAGCTACTTAGGATAAACGAACGTAGTTTCATGTTACACGGTTCAATCTCACCTTTTACATTGTTGTTGTTTTTTGTAATAAATGTATGTTTATGAACACCTTTATAATTTGATATCTCTGCACCAAGTTTTAAGTCTTTTTATTTTTTTATACCAAAAGTAAGCTGTTTTAAGTTCATATATATAGGTGATTACGTTTTTTTTTTTAATTGTTGTTGTTGTTTTTTTAAAGCAATTGCACCTTGTGGGTTTTAACATGTTCGCTGCCATGTTACCACCAGAAAATTGTTTCAAAGCCAAATTTCTCTTGTGACGTACGAGTTTGGTACACTTACTGCTCCTCGGCACCTCTTGAATAGTTAATTTTATTTATACTTAATTTATTATGTGGCAACTGATATGTTAATAATTAGATATTGATTTTGAGTTTGAAACTCCAATTCTTGTAGATTTTACCATTGAAGAGTAGCCAGTGAAACTAAGAAACCTGTTTATTTTTTTTGACATACAAGAAATGAATTTTTTTTGGGGGGGGGAAAGAAATGTCTAAGAACTGAAACTTTCATTATCTTACTTGAAGGGAAGTTTTAAACTTGTATATGTATATATATATCTTGTTGGTCAGTATGAGGCAATATGCATGTATAACTGATAAAAATAAAATAAAAATATGCATTTTGATATGATGTACATTATAGATATTTAAACCTTTATTTTTGGGGCTTTATTAACACTCATGGACTTATATTTTTAGATGGAGGAAGTGGTAATACACCAGAAAATGCAAATACTGTGTGGGGACCATCAGCAAATAAGTCATCAGGACCCAGTATTAATAATTGGACATCAGGGAATGCACCAAAGAAAGACATTCTTTCTTCTGGATGGCAAGAACCATCCCCACCAACAAATCGTCGTCAAACAGTAATGACAAATTATGATGATGGTACCTCAGTGTGGGGAAACCCTCACAGACAAGGAAAGGTTTGCCACTGGAAAGACATGCCAAACATGAAAACTATCAACAGTGGAGGAGGAACTGCAAATAATATACCTTCCAATGGGAGCACCAGCTTAATTCCTCCAGGTCCTGGGATGATTCGCCTACCTTCACCAGTTATTGGTGTAAATAAGCCAGACTTAAGCAATCCCATTTGGGGGAAACCACCACCACCACTTAATCGTGGTACTAGTTGGACAGAAATTCCCCAACATGAATCTTCAGGGCCATCTTTATGGGAGGATTCCTGTACACTTTCTCAAGTGAAGAGTATGCCAACTACACCAAGCACACCCATTGGTGGAATGGGTGGTGCTTGGGACCCAGGCAGCTACTGGGGTGCTAAACCCAAAAGTGCTTCTACCTCCAGTTGGGCTGAAGGACAAATAGATACTAGTTCTTGGGGTGGCTCAACTAGACCAGTAAGTTTAATTTTATATATTATGCCAAGTTAAAATCAGGTAAAGCATCCTGGTAAAAGTTTTTTCTTGTTTGTTTTTGTGTGCGTGTGTGTGTGTGTAACATGTAAAAATATGTAAGCAAAAAATGTTTTGGAGGTCAATATAGGAAATAAGTATTTAGAAAATATTTTTCACTGATTTCGCTCACTTTAATAAATGTTTCAAAGTCCCAGAATGGAAAGTGATATATACCATAATATTTGTAATTAATTTGGTTAGTTGTAATATCTTCAGAAAACTGAATATTTTCCAAATCCACATTATCAACAAAGAGAAAAAAATGAAAGTGAATTGAAGACAATAGGTTTTATGACCTTTCTTTGCTGATTTTTAAATTGCTACATTGATTAATAGCATTATAGTGCATATTTTATTTAATCATGATGCTCAAAACTTATAACTTGGTTTTTCTATTATTTACAAGATGTTTACAAACTGTCTTCCTCATCATCTCAATATGAAATTCTGCTAGTTAATTCAATTTGAGTGAGGTATAATCATTGCTCTCAAGTATTTCAACTTTTATCAATGTTTTACATAACACGGTGTTTGGTTTCCGTGAGTAGTTTCATAAACAGAGAAGTATCAATGTATTGTGCATGTTTGTGGAATTAGCTATAATCCCCCTGGATTTTGTATAAGTGTGCATGCTACAGGGAAAAAAAATTTAGTTCAGTGTGTATCTCCTTGATATGTAATGAACCCCAATACTTGGTGTGGGAAACCCATGTGTGCTGCTTTAATCTTACCAAAAGGAAAGAAACATGCAAGATAGGCAATCATCAGTGGAGGATTCAGGGGTGTACTCAGATTTAATGCAGGAAATGAACAGTTGGTGGGATGCTGGCACTATGGAAAACCTTATTTATGCACCAGGAAGGTTTCTTACTGGGTCCAACAGAAGGTTAAAGGTATAGTAATGTATTCACCTCAAGAAAAAGATTTTTTATGTTAAGGGCTTCATTTACCATATTACACTAACTGAAAAATTGTAATATATATTACTCTGAAGCATATTGCTCAAATATCCAGTAAGATGATGGACTTTTATTCTACTTTTCTAAATCTAAATTATTAACCAAGCATGCCTATAACTCTGAAATAACTTTGTGTATCTATGCAAAATGTGGAAAGCTTTTATTAAAATGTACATGTCTGTTGTACACAAAAAAATGAGGTGCTATTAAAATACTTCTGCTCAAGATCGTCAGATGTTTGTGAATTGATGACGTCAGCATGTCTCAGACTCTGACAATTCAAAATGCAAGGTGATGTGAAGTATAAAAAATACTTTTGTTCATTGTATAGTTTATATATATTGCATTTGCTTAACCTCAAGAACCTCCAAAATGCATATTTACAAGTTTGTTCAGTATCTCTGTATATTGTATCTAATATTTACTCGTCTCTATCACAAACTGCCCCTAAATCACCAATGTAGAGTAAAATGAATAGTTGATAACTATGACATCAAATGCATAATAAGGTATTGAATGACACTGTGTAAAAGATTGTGATGTGTACTTAGACTTTCACCTGTGCACATAGGATTAATTATCTGATCTTTCACTTTATTTTAGCAAATGCTCTGAGAAAAAATTTCTGTTCTATATGATACAGAAAAATGCTGTGGTAAATAAGAGAATAATGTGTATGTTTGACCAATTTTTTAAAACATCTACATTTTATATTACATTTACATGGTCTAATGTAGTGTAGTTAGTTTTCAGAGAGTATTAAAAATATTACATGTTGGATTTTTTTTTCTGGAGAAGATATTAACACTTTCCTCAGGAGCCAAAGGATGTCTTTACACTACAATTCATTGAATATTAAAACTAAGCTCAACCCCAAAACTCCCAAAATTGGTGGTTTGGGATGTATCTTTTAGAGACAGTTTTTGTTTCTTAATTGATAAGTCTCCATACTGGCTAGCTAGTATTAAGGTCTACCTGCTGGGAGCAAATTCAGTATATATTGATAAAGCCACATTTTCAGCATCATTAATTAAGCAATTGCCAACCTTTTATGCTTCTGCAATTACTTTTTATGTTTACCTTTCATTTGAGATAAGAACGATTTCACCTGTGATTCAGTAGGGAAGGTCAAAGCATCACAATAGTCAGCAGTAGGATGAGCAGACAGGACGACACTGAAAGTAGATGCAGGCATAATATTGTACTTGGCTTGCTGCACAGTATCTACTAAGGTGGCTTTAAATGGTTCCTGAATACCTCTGCATATCATTTGGAGACTTCCATGCTTTTGGTGCTTGGCCATTGAGCTCATGATGGACTGATGGATTTCAGTCACCTTACCACTTCAAATCACTTTTTGGAGTCCCAATGCTAAAAGAGTATAGGAAATGCCTTCTTTTTTAGCCAATAAAAATATCCAAACAATTTCAGTTCAAATTAATAAAGAAAAACCAGATTGGGTAGGTGTTTTTTTGTTAGTTTTTTTTCAACAAAAATATCCACCACTGGCTTGTGATGGGCTTGTTAATATTATGAAAAAACTTTTTTTTGCCAGTTTTCAATAAGTATAGTAAGAATTAGGTAACTAAACTTTCACTTGTATAAGTAGTGACTATTTCAAGATCCTTGTGTATAAAATAATTTTTATCAGAAAAACTGTCTTATTAACCTTTTCTATATGGGTCACAGAAGAAAGGCCATGTCATCTTGTTTGTTGAGTCACATTCAAAATTTTATTGAACTACTATTTCATGAATTTATGTAAATAAGTTTAACAAACTATAGATTATAATTCAAATTTTAGAACTATACATTACTGAATTCGTTAATTTAAAAGTAAATATTAAAAAACACTGATAAACATCAATTTTTGTGTGTCACGTGGTATGTTGAATGCAGCACTGGTTCAAATTAGATATTTGTGAAGTCAAAATACTAAGTCTGTAGTTTCGTATGAAATAGAAACTCAAATTACCAATATTGACAAGCTAGAATACGTAATAATAATGTCTTATTTTTCTATTTGCAAGATATTACTCACATAATAAATCAAACACACTGGCACCCTGCTCACATCTTTCCATTTTTGGAAATGTTCCCTTATATATACTTACTTCTATATATGACATGAATAACCAATCAGAAGCTCAGAATGTCCTGCTAGTGGTTTTCTAAACCTTTCTATTGTACCTAGCATTATTTCTTTCTTTTAAACCAAGATTTCAATGAGATAGGTTGTGTCTTTAGTCTGCTC